CCGAGTCGTAAATATTCGTTAATGAATTGAATGTATTTTTGTTTAAAGGAGGGTTGAGCTTTCATTCTTCGCTCTAAAGATAAAAATTGCCGCACCGCAAGCGCTCGAGAGTCACCTAAATCGGCATGATCTGGAATCAATGGTAACCGCACCGTGTATTTGCCATCCGAACAACGTTGAACTGTGTTGACAAACAGCTCTTCACATTTAATATCAACCGGGTCCTTAATTTTAAGTTTGGGTGGTTCTTCCGATTTCCAAAAACGCTCAACCGCTTCCACTAAAGACACACCCGCAAAAGGGTCCGTATTATTTTTTTTTATATTCCCACACATGGGCCCGAAAATCGCAAAATCAAAAATGGTATCAATTGCATAAGGTCCACCCGGCCGTAAGGTCACCTTCCTGCCTTCAATAATTTCACCGAGAACATCACAACCAAAAATAATATCTACTTGCGAACAATCACCAAAGTCGAAATTAGGGGAAACGTAAGTTGTCGGAGTCTTTAACACAACTGCATTCACTGATAACAATACCGTACCGTTATTATTCTCCCGTCCCGAACAAAAATGCAGCTGGACAATATAATTGCTACTTTGACCCAAGTTACCACCGACTCCCGTTAAGGCAGTAACCGAATAATATTTCTTTAAACCTAACCTATTGACTAAATCACTACGAACTACCGATACCTGTGAACCAAAATCTAACAATGCCCTAACCTTAAATATATCATCGTTAACAGCAACAACTTTAACCGAAACCGTGGGTAAAACGACATTATTAATTAATTTCGGAACCGGAGGGCCGACCGTTGTATTCTGATTCACCTCCGAGTCCGAAGTTAATTGCTATTGAGCAGTATTATTGTTGTTGCTGATACTGGAAGGATGAATGAAATCCGCGGCGTCCGTATCCACCATAGCTGGCATAGACCGAACAGATGGGAAACCTGAGTTGGCCGACGCCGGCCCATAATTAAAGGCGTGTACCGTCCGTTCATTTTGAGTACGGTCATTAAAACTATGTTGTGTTGGTGGTGGGCAACAAATCAAACTATGGTGGCCCACATTTCCACATTGCTCGCATGGGACATTTTTATTGCACCGATTTGCCAAATGACTGCCGAAGCATCGGAAACAAAGATTGTATTCGCGTATCCACCTTCGCCGTTCATTGCAATCTCCTTTCTTAAACTTATAGCAATTATCAATTACATGCCCCGTAGCTGAACAAAAGACACAGGACAACCCACTGTGCGAGCCGCTTTCATTGCGACGCGTAGGCATAACATGTACCGCCGCCATTCCGGGCCGTGGGGGGAACACGTGGTGATTTCTCCGAACCGTATTTTGGCGGGCTGCCTGTGTAAACTGCCCGCTATTTCCTATATAGTGGCGTGGCATTTTCGAAAGATCTACATTAGTATAGGGTTTATGAGGGGGATTATTATATTCCGTATTTGCCGTATCTACATTCATTTTGTAAAACCGACATTAACTCATCAAATGTAGGAAAATCAGATTTTGTACCGCCGTATTTCTGCTCGAATCGTGTTTTTATTTCCGTGGGTAACTTGGTAAGTGCGATGTGAACGAGTATGTAACTCCACTCGTCTACTGGCAAACCTAGACCTTTTAACGCCCGTGTGCATTCCAAAAGCGGGTTCAAAATGCTTGACCGCATCATAGCCAAACTTTTTAAGGGTTGGACGTTCAATATCCGAGAAATATACGTGTCCGCGAGTAATCTTTTATTTTCGTATCGATTCAGTAGGATTTGTAAGGCTATGTCCAGTGAAGTTTCAACCATCGGTAAATGTTGAATAAGCGTCTTTGGTTCCTTTTGTACGTGGGTAAATAAATAGTGAAATTTTTCCGTTTTCGTAATATCGGTTCGTGTCAATACAAGTGAACTAAATAGACTATGAAAACTGGACCATGTGAATAAGTCCCCATCAAAGAATGGTAAGGCTATCTGAGGCAACCGCGCAGCCGGCGTACCGCTGGATCTACTGTTGTCGCTTCCGTCTTTGGCCTGTGAGTCCGAATACTCCACCTCCGCGACCAGTGTATCGTATTGCAGCGTGGCAGTAGCGTATTTATTGTCATATACTTTTATTTGGTCTGGGTCGGACTCAACCTCTAGTAGGTGTTCGTATGCACTAGTTAAAGTTTGATAGTGCGTTTCTAATTTACGCAACCTAGCCGAAAAAACAGGGGTATGGCCTGATGATTCTAAGTAATCTACTGAATTCTGAAACCAGTCGCATTGTAGTTTAAACTTGGCTTCGCTAGCCTTCGCCATTTTGATTTTGAAAAACTACCGTTAGTTACTATCTACGCAGTCACAAATTTCCCACCAAAATACTGTTTGCCGTACCGAATTTTTATACTATTCTACTTATTTAAACCGAAACACTGTTTACCGTACCGAATTTTTATACTATTCTACTTATTTAAACCGAAACACTGTTTACCGTACGACTATTCTACTTATTTAAACCGAGTTACCGAACCGAAATTAAACACAATAACTTTAGAGAATACCTACTACGAATCTCACCATCCGCGCGTGGAAGGATCAAATTATGTTCCGTTTAATGACTTACTGCGACCGCCGTAGATTATAGTGGACTTGTTGTATACCGATAGGGCTAGTAGGTGAGACAGAGATAGGTTTTATCCGAGGTACACACACACAATCATGTTCCCAGTAAGAAAAGTGCGCTTACCTTTGCTGTGATAGAGGGGCTTGAGCTGACGAAACCGTGCAAATAGCCGCTTGTGTTTGGAGGCCCCGTGGTCCTCGCTGTATCACCGTTACACCAGGAAGCCGGTCCGTCCGTCCGCTTAAAGCAACCGTGCCGAAGTGGTCGTTCCGAAGCCGTAGAGCGCCCCCGATGCCGATGACCGTTACATCCGGGAAAAACCCAGTACATCCCTTGTTAGGGGCTGGTTCGCTGATTGGCCGGCGCGCAGGCACGCCGCTTTGTCTTACGCACCAATGATGCGCGCCACAGTCAAGGCGCGCAAATTCATACCGGGAAGCGTCATGATGTGCGTGTACAAACAGTAATATGCGGAGTTCTAGCCAGAGAGGATAGAACCTAGGGACGTAGCTACTAATTAAAAGATACTGGATTTCATATTGATTTTATTTGATTTCAGGCGAATACAAGTTTTTTTATCAAAGCTACGAAAGGGTTGGTGCCTGAAGATCATCTCTGTATGGAACCTTCTATCAAAAGACAGATGATTACTTATTTCAAATCTTAAAGTCATGACATTAACTTTTTAATGTAACTGCCAGTCGTAGGCATTGCAAGAACAAAGAGTTTACCTAAACAAGGAGGCTGTAACGGAACGGACGTTACATCCCTCCGGCACCGCTAAAAAAATTGTTTTGTCATACTAGATGACCGAACAAAATTTTTTTTCCTACCTACTACGTCGAGATGGTTCGACGGTGCTATCTAAAATCCCTACCTGCTTAAGGACATAAATACAACTGGGAGGTGGCCTTTACTACACTAGCCCTCACAATAAGTTTGCAAAACTTGCAAAAAAAAAACTTTACGGGAAAAGAACCCTAACTGTTTGCAAAGTTTTATTGCAAAGACTTTACGGGAGCAAAACCTTAACAAAATCCCTCGTACATCTCCCCCCTAACCTTAACTTTACTTAACATCGAAATCAGTCGGCAAAAACAAAAAACAAAGCTATCCCTAGCTATTCCTTAAATTACGCGGCGCCTCCACCATGCGGAGTTCTAGCCAGAGTGGATAGAACCTAGGGACGTAGCTACTAATTAAAAGATACTGTATTTTATATTGATTTTATTTGATTTCAGGCGAATACAAGTTTTTTATCTAAGCTACGAAAGGGTTGGTGCCTGAAGATCATCTCTGTATGGAATCTTCTATCAAAATACAGATGATTCCTTATTTCAAATCTTAAAATCATGACATTAACTTTTTAATATAACTGCCAGCCGTAGGCATTGCAAGAACAAAGAGTTTACCTAAACAAGGAGGCTGTAACGTAACGGACGTTACAGTACCTATCTGATGCTTCCTATATACTAAATATAAAGTTAACTATAAAATTTATTGTAACTATATATCTATATTATGCTAAATGATGTCATGGAAGGTGACTTCAGAAGTATCTCTGAAGTCATTTTACAACTTGACAACTCTGTATATAATAATACAGGGAGAAAATAACAGCCCTTGCTGAGTTTCTTGCCGGTTCTTCTCAGTACAAGGTCTCCCGCCGTAGTTTTGCGAACCGATGGCGTTGCTTCTTGACCTTCACAAGAGCTTGTAACAGCCTGGACTGAATAAATGATTTTTGATTTTGATTCACGAGCAGTGCAAAAAGCACATTGAAACTCACTTCCATAAGGAGGCATTGAAAGCTGCTAAATCTTTTCTCGAAGGTGTGCCTGTCGATTTGCAACTTGACAATTATCCCAGGAAATTATTGAAGAAAATCGCAAAATTATAAAATCTATTATTTCCTGCATTACGTTTTGCAGGTCACACGACTTAGCACTGAATGTAAACATTATGATGAAGGTATTCTCGAGGATTTATACAGGCAGGCTGCGAATTGACGCAGCAAATTTGATTTTAAAGAAACACATTGAGCAAGGGAAAAATAATGCAGGCTACCGTTCAGTGTATATTCAAATGAAAACAGCTGATAAGAAACACAGGAAGTCCAAGAAATGTTTGTCGGATTCATTGAGCTAAAAGATTTGGATGCGAAATCGATTGCACATAGCATAGATGAGTTTTTGACAAAAGAAGATCTGAATATAAATAAATGCGTTGGTTTGGTTTTCATGGTTGTTCAACCATGTCAAGAAAAGACGGACGGACAAGCGATCTTTCGCAAAAAGTACACCAAAGCCCTCTACTTTCTCATTTCTCAATGATCCCAATGATCTAAATTCACTTCCTGAAATAAGAAATGCCATGGAAACCACTTAATCAGTTTTGAGGAGGAAGTTAATAAATATAAATAATAAATATGAACCCGTTGTCAACGTACCTACTCCAATCTGTAGCTTTGGACGTGGTCAAATCCTCCGAACACGTTAAAAGGATTTTACTTTTAATTAAAAACCACCGTCCAAATCTGGGAAAAGTGACAGACGAAATTATAAAGGAAGCAACTGCTGTTGCGGAGAAAGTCGGACTGGAGGAGCACATTTCATCAATGCCGCGTATTACGGGGAAACAACGTCATAGAAGCAATCATCCAGCAGAAAGCCCTCCAGAATACTGGAAGAGGTCTTTAGTAATACCATACTTGGATTCAATTATCACCTCCCTTGAAGTACGTTTTGCTGAAGAAAACACGCCATCATTCGTATTATCTAAGTTACACCCGGCGCACATGTAAAAGATGACAACTGAAAATCTGAAACGGAAAAAGCATTGAAAATGATCGCTTTACCATGCACGACCTGTACAGTACAGCGATCCTTTAGCAGCCTCAGAAGACTTAAAACATGGCTAAGAAGCACCATGGCAGAAGATCGCCTAAATGTTCTGACCATGATGAGTGTACAGTTTGTCTATAAAGTCGTGACATTAAATGATGGCGCCACTAGTATGCATGTAGAACCCTATACAGTCTGACCAAAATGATTTTGATACTAGCAGTTCATTCAAGTAAAATAGGTAATTAATAAGACGCTATACAGTCGTATTTTGTTTCTGTTTTATATATAGTAGGTACCTATGCTTATAAAAAGTTTAGCCAAGCATATTTAATTGAATCAGAATAAAATTATTATAGATAAAATAGTATTTTATAATGTAAAGGTGTGTAATGTTGGTGATTACCGCTAAGGTGCCTTTGAGACCAGAGCCGTTAGGTAATCATCAATACACACAAGTATCATCATACGACGTTTTTTAACACACTTGTTAAGAAAATAATACTAAAAATCATTTTATAGTATATAAAAAGTTTATTTACAGAAACAATTTGTAAATGTGCAGTTAGTAAAATTAGTGATAGGTATCTTCACTAAAAGCATCTGGCCATGGTTCTTTAAGTGACCATTTCTTTCTTTGGTCGGCCTTGCCTGTTTTCCCAGGAGTTTCAAACTTTCCATCATTCTTAAAACCTTCGTTGACTATCCGACTCTCTGATTTTCCTGAAAAAAAGTAAAAAAATATGTAACGTAATAGAAACAATAACTTATAGACATGAAGCAATTAATTCAAAATTGGTAGAAAACCTGATAGAGTTGAACCATAAAAACGTGTCAAAAGAAATGGTCGTACTACAATATTACCTATTTACAATGTCAATCTAAACTAAAAATGTGCAATGTAAACAATGCCTTTTTTGGTCTCAAAATCGTAAATTGAGTAACTTTGTAACTTCAGGCAGATTACAAACAAATAGTTACACGATTACATACCCGTCATAGATGCTGTTCGCCCATAAACATCATCCAAATCCCGCCAAATTCGTCCAGCTTCGTAGTCTTCGAAACATCGCTGGAAAACTTTAAAAATCACTTCCCGCGTGCCACTCCGATTTCCTTTACTCATTTTTATACCTTTCTGCGTAGTTTCGTCTTAATTTATTACAGTTTAATCCAAACAATAAAAAATACAAAAGGAAAACTGTTCCACAACTGAAACTCGATGACAGCTGATGTACATTAGTTTGGTGTTGCCAGACACATGAATAATGTTAGTGTTAGCTCCTCAAACATTCATGTCACGACTTTATAGACAAACTGTACACAGAGCTATAATAAATAAAAATCTAAATAATTTTAATGATAAAGTAGTTAAAAGTTTTGCAAAAAATCCCCGCAGGTTATGTTTTAATTAAATATTATTTTTGTTAAAGTAAATAATTGTTACTGTGTTACAAGTTTGATTTAGTTATTGTGCTGTGGAGGGCTTGTGAATACATTGATGCCGGTGTCGATTCTGGCGTGACTCTCTAAACTTAAAACTAAATTTGACATCAGTTTCTCCTTTTCATTCTGTATAGAGAATGACAAGGACACACTTTTGTCAAATTTAAGTTTAGGTTTAGAGAATCATGCCAGAATCGACACCAATTAGAATCGTTCTTATTACAGTCGTCATCGAGGCAAAGACTTCCAATGTGTAACGCTTCATGCTCTCGGCGTTTATATTTTTTATTCCCATAATATTGCATAAAATTATAAAGCGGTAACGATCAGTTTCAGTTTGGGTGGTAGGTAATAAGGGGGTGATTTCCAAATTTATTTGTCGTCAAAAAAGTAGAGACCAATTTTGTCTTTATAATAACTCGCTTAATTTTTATACTAGTAAAAGAAATTCAATTTCAATATCGTTTATTCAGTCTAGGCTGTTACAAGCACTTGTGAATGTCGAAAAGCTACGCCATCCTTTGAGTATACACCAAGTAATGCTCGTAAATGCTCTAAGACGCCATCAGTTAGCAAATCTACGGCGGGAGACCTTGTACTGAGAAGAACCGGCAGGAAAATCAGCTGGCAAGGGCTGTTTTTTTCTCCCTGTATTATATACAGAGTCGTCAAATTGAAAAATGACTTCAATATGAAATAACTCATGAAATCACTTTCCATTACAAATGTAAATGCTATAAAAATTATGACTATAAAATGAATAAAAAAATATAAACTGATCAAACAAAGTTTAGGAATTTTAAGGAATGCCGTGTCCTACAATTTAGGCATAAAAAATACGATTAAAGTTAAATACAACGATTAATAGTACCCAATGTAGCAAGAGCAGACTCATCTCCGCTAGCAGCACCAGTTCACGAGCAAGACGCATGAACCAGCCATTGCTTCGCTCAACCATTTTTTAGGGAACGTAACGACCCGCCTCACACAATACCGCCGAAGAAATTTTAAACAGAGCATGACTACTCATAATCACATATGGATACTAGGTTGCAAAATAGGAAAAAAAGTATAAGTGCCAGTGAATATTAATATAACAAACTATAAACACAACTGTAGGACACATGCATGTGATTACCCATACACTAGAGTCGATTCTGGCACTACCCTCCAAACCCAAAACCAAATCCAACACCCCCCCCCCCCCCCTTTTCACTCTATAAAGAGAATGACAAGGATACACTGCTGCAAAAGCAAAGTTCAGGTCTAGAGAACCATGCCAGAATCCACACCATCATTAAGTTTTTATCAGAGAAATAATAAATGTTCACCTACATTTTGATTGCTATTTTAGGGAACGCAACGACCCACCTCACACGACATCCCCAAAGAGATTTTGTAAGAGAGCATGACTACCCATAACCACTCAAACCAAACTGCAAAATATTCACTTAGAAGGTAATTTATTAAAGGTAATTTATCTACTTAACGGCACTGCAAACAATTACAAAACAAATTTGCAGTTACAGCCATGCAATTTTGTAATTCAAATATGTATTATTTAATAGTATAATAGCCTCTCTTAAGTAATAAAACTTTTAATGTGACATTTGAACTCATTTATGGGTAATTTAAGAATAGCATCAGGAATTTTATTATAAAAATGTATACCTTGACCCATAAAAGATCGGTAAACATTCTGTAACCTGTAGGGTGGCAATTAAAGCTTGTTTCTATTCCTTGTATTAAAATTGTTCACTTTACTGTGTTTGGTTTATAAATTGATATTATTTTTAACGAGGAGTATGCAATTGTATAATATGAATTGAGAAGCAACAGTCAAAATGCTAATTTCTTTAAATTTTTCTCTAAGAGATGTTCGGCTACACAATTGATTAATAGATCTCACAGCTCTTTTTCGTAAAATGAATATACTTTCACTATCAGCTGCTGTTCCCCAAAGTATAATGCCGTATGACTAGATACTATGAAAGTAACTAAAATAAACAGTCCTGGCAGTATCTGTATCAGTAAGTTGTCTTATCTTTCTTATGACATAAGCTGCTGAACTAAGTTTACCAGCCAAAAGAGTAATGGGATGATTCCATTTGAGTTTTGAGTCTATCGTTATACCCAAGAATGTAGTTGAGTCTACTAAATCTATTTTTTCATTATTTAATATGATTCCAATATGTTCAACTTTTACATCAAGTAAACAAAATTGAATATTCTTGGTTTTATTAGTATTTAGCATTAGCTTTAGATTATTTACATTAAACCATTGCAAAACTTGCGAGAGAGCATAATTAACAAGTAAATATGTAATTGTATTAGCGTAAGCAAATCAGTTCACGTTCGGACGTCATATGTACCGCGTGTGCTAATAAACATAACAGTTTCAACATAATCGGTGTTATCAATTTATCACCAAGCTATCATTTAACATCATCATCTCGAAAGGTGTAGAGGAAACTCAACAGTCATAGTTGTTCTTGCGCCTGTCAACGTTAAATAATAAGGATGTGTCATCAGCAAATTATACTACTTATCTCACACAAATTTTACACAACAAATGGCAAATCATCTATATATACTAGAATCAGGAAGGGACCCCAAATTGAACCCTGGGGAACACCAATTTCCACATGAGATCCAAATGTTCTAACACCATTTAACTCTACAGTTTGAATTCTAAAACTAAGGTACGACTGCATCAATTTATATGCAGTGCCTTTAACTCCATAATGACTCAATTTCAATAACAGTGTGTGATGATCAACGCAATCAAAAGCTTTGGATAAGTCACAGAACACTCTAAGAACATTGTGCGACCTCTCCCAAGCCTCCAATATACTTCTTACAAGTGCAACACCCGCATCAGTAGTAGAAATACCTCTGGCAAAACCAATTGTTTCCAATGTAAAACTTTATAAGAATTCTTTTAAATATTTTACTAACAACCGGTAATATTGATATAAGCCTATAATTTCCAGGGTCATTTCTATTTCCCGATTTAAAAAGATGTATAATTTTACTGTATTTCATCAGATTTGAAAATACTCCTTGATCAATACAGTTAATAAATATATCAACAAGATAAGGGGCAATAACGGGTATTATAACCTTTTATTAACTTTAGTAGAAATATCCCATACATCACTTGTATTTTTTTGTTTTAGAGATGTAAAACACTTTATAACATCAATAAAATTATACTTAATAAAAAAAACAAAATGTCTGAACCAAAACACGTTATCACCTAGGTGTGATACATACTCGTATTTCTCGAGCAATGTCTTGGCAGCCACCGGTGAAGAACTCAAATTAGATTTAGCCACCAAAGGTTCTTTAGATTTTATTAGAATGTTATTGGACTTAAGTTCAACAATATCGTCACGTGTATTTTCTTTGCCTGTTTCACGATTTATAACATTCCACGTTGTTTTGATTTTATTACTAGATTTACGATTTACATATTTTATTTTTATAAAAATTAGATTTGGTTGTTGTGCATACCGTTTTAAAAGTTTTAGAATAACATTGAACGTAATCAATAAAACCCGTGAATGATTGTATTTTCTTAGGTGTTACAAGTTTCTTAA